AAGCAATAATTCAATTAGTTATTTCTGAATTTTTAGACAAATTTTGTTCTTTTACTCTTCAGCAAGCAATGTCACCAAAGTAATTTTCTCATTTTCCCCCTTTCGTTCCTTAGTAACGACAATCTTTTTCACTTTACCGTAATTTGAAATTTTTCTCCTTAATTTCCAATCATACAGAAAGATACCAATTCCCTGTCAATTTCTCCAAGTAGCAGCAGCAGTTAATAATTTTCAATTTTTCTTCTCTCCATCTGATTACCCAGGAAAAAATTAATTTGAAAAAATATTCCCTTAAAATTGTGTCAACGGGGAACGATGATCTCCGAACGGCAGAGAAACACGCGCTCGATGAAACGATGATTCTGTTCCGTGGCGAATGCGACAGAAATGTAACCGCATTCCTTCGATGATGTAAAATAATGTTTATATCGTAACGAAGATTCGAAAGACAGGTATTTACGAAGGTGCGTGATTGGGAATTGTGATTTTGAACACGAACGAACACTATCCGGTGTGTCTCTACGTTTTTTCAGCAAGTCGGTGATAGGATTAAATGTCGATACCTAAGATTTTTCAACTAAATAATATTAGAAGTAATTAGAGAAAGCTCTGATAATTCACAGTTTGTTCCATGATTCTTCGTTATTCCTCGAATTCATCAGAACAATTTCAGTCGCACACGTTGAAAAAAAAAAAAAGAAGAATATATTCACATCGCACTGCACCATTGAAACGAAAGAAAAAAATGAAAAAAAAAAACATTTCCTATTTTCCATCGAAAAATGCGAAGACCCGTTGAATTTTGTACGATAAGGACGAAATTTTAGCTATAGTTTCGTGGCGTTAAGAGATTAGCTTATCCAATCTTCTTCGATCTCGAAAAATCTCTTCCCCTATCACCAAATTAAACGAAAGAAGAAGAAGAATTCACGAACGATTCGTTCCCTCCCCTCGTCGCGCGCAAACGTTACTGCCTGTAGAACAACGACTACTACCGTCTTCTAGTCTTAGCGATTTACATGGTAATTTCGATTTTGTAAATTGAACGATTAAAAGAAAAAAAAATAATAATACCAGTCTTTGCAACCTTCGATCGAGAGATATTCGAAATTTTTCCCAGTCGAGTGAAAATACGTCAACTCGCGACTGTACGTGATAACAGAGAAATCAATATCAAATGCAGTCACGAGTGATTAAAATTTTAAAATTTCAACGAGAAAAAAAAAATTTCTTCTTTTCGCCATTCTTTCGTCGATTTACGCGATTCCGTTAAAAGTGTCGCCAGTTTGAGGGAACACTTCGAAACTTGCTCTGCAAAACGGCTACGGGAAAATCGACGAAATTTTTTGAACGACCGAAAGATCCGAGAAATGAGAAAAATTCGAGATCCCGATCGAGGATTGTAGCTGCAGCCATCTCGATATACCCGTAATAACCATGCTAGGTTAAGTATAGCCACGTGTTAAGGACGCCTGATACATTTTTTTACCGAACGAAGAAAGAAACGAGAGAGAAAAGAATCAGAAAAAGAAGGGGGAAGATATCAGCTTTATCTCGAACCATGATAGAGTTAGGCGTGGAGGTTAAGGGTGGTGTACACCCGTCGTAAAGCTTGTTCGAAGTGAAAACGAGTAGTTTTCAATTCGACAGGGCAGTTTTTGAAATTCTCGATGACGAGAATCGACGATATCTCGAATCTCGTGTCTCGAGGTATCGAGCTATGATGACTCTTTGCGCGACCAATGACGGCGTTCCGTCTTTGGATCGAAGAAGTGAAAATTGGGAGACACAGACATACACACTCGCACACACACACATGAACTATTACGACGATACTTATTAATGTAAATGGTTTTTCATTACTATATTATAGATGTTACTTAATAATATATTTACAAATAATTAAGCGGGAGGCTGGTCGTTTTATTTTGCACACCCTCTATATTAGATTTAATCAGGCATAGCCGTTTGCAGTTGTTCCACGAATTTTATTACGAAAATTGTTACGTACCCTTATTTCTTTGAAATTTTATCTTAGAATATTTTGGTTATTTCAGTTTTACGACTGTGTGTACGATTATTTTCAGAATTTTATTATACTCGAGCGTTATTTCAGAGGTGTTGTAATAAATCTCTGCAATTTTCTCTTCACTTTCTTTTTAATTTTGTACTAGAATTGGTACATTATGGCGATAGAATTACTTTTCGATTCTTTTTGGAATATTTTTCGTAGGTAAACGAAAAGACTGTTTTTATCTTAATTACAGAAATTACTAAAAAAAAATTAAGAAAGCATTTCTTACTCCAACAATATTTAGCATTACTTTTCAAGTAATTTTCGTCTGAATAATTAGCAAACTTGACGGTGAATACTAAATAAAAAATGACATCTTCAGAAATTCTTATTTCATACGCAAGCTATTTTTATTTCCATTTTTCAAGTAACTTTCATTTCGATAATTAGCAAACTTGACGGTGAATACTAAATAAAAAATGACATCTTCAGAAATTCTTATTTCATACCTAAGCCATTCTTATTTCCATTTTTCAAATAACTTTCAACTGAAGAATCAGCAAACTTGATAGTGGATATTAGCATGGATATTAGCTCATTCTATCACCCAAATATTCCCATTTGCTGATCAATCTCCAGCAGCACGAAAGAAGCAACCAAGGTATGTATAAAGAAGAAAAGCGAACAACAAATCTCCGACAATAAATATGTTTTATTACACATATATCTCGTACGAGGGTTACACGATATTAATACATGTTCATTTAACTGTCCAGCAATCAAACACGTTGTATTCAGTTTTCATTTCATCAAATTTTTTTCTCGTTTTTAGTTTCTCCATTACCTCTACGCTATTATTATTTCTCTCCTCATTTATGCCTCTCGCGATCGTCATCGCCGTGACCGTAAAATGTCTCGCTCGATGCATCGTCATCGTCATCACCATTGTCGATCGGTCATCGTGTTAGATACAATTAAAAAGAAGCACACATATCATGGTCGTCATTTATATACACGTAAAAATCATCGTCTCTCATGTTAGTCACGAGAAGAAGAAAACCTATCGTACTCGGTTTCTCAGTAAACACCCATTTGGAAAGGAGCAAACAAAATTGGCAAAATGGAAAGAAACTCGCTGAATTAAATCTACGTAACAGGGGCACAGACAAAATCGAAGAAAACAGAGAAAATAAACGTAGCAATTATCAAATAAAAGTCATACACGTGATATATATATATATTTTTTTTTTTATGTTGTTCTTCTATATTTTTTTTCTTTCTTTTCGTCGTTCGATCGGTCGTTCTCGCTCGAATCTCTCGATCTCCCTGAAAATCGTCATCTCTCTCCTTTTTTCTCTCTCCCTCTCTCTCTCTCTCTCTCTTTCGAGCGGAACACTCATTAATTCCTCAAAGGATTCCCCATGGAACAACGTCAATTCGTCGATTATTTCTCTCATCATCTTCTTCTTCTTCATCTTTGTGATTAGACGTTTAATTATCATTTAATTAATCCTGATCGCTTACGCCCTAAAGAAGATTCGCTTGTTTTCATTCACCTTTTTTTTTTTTAGCATTTTCTGTTTTTCCTTGATTTCTCGGTTTAAATGTTAAATTCCTCAGCTTAATATCTAGTCGTGTACTCGTAGCCTTACGTAAATTATCACTTAACGATCTAAGCTTGGTGACCAGCACCAATAAACACTCACTAGATTCACTGCCTACGGACACAGATACTGGTTCGCCTCTTTCTCGAGCAGCTCTTTTGGCCATTTTATTCCGCCTGGAATCGTTTCCCTCTCGCCTTCGAGTTCGTTGAACGAACGAAAGAAAAAAGAAACAAACGTCGAAGGATTTTTCTTCTCTTTGGCTTCGATCGATTCGAGACATCTTTTGTATTTCTTTTTTTTTTTATTCGTATTCGTGTATAAAACAAATAAGGAAAGAGAACAAGAGAAAAATACAAGAACAGAAAGAAGAAAAAAAAAGAACGAAATTTTGTTTTCGCCGGCAAAAATTTCGCGATGCTTCGAGAAAGAGAGCGACAGAATCGACGCTCGACGTTGCTCGAGCGTCGATCCTTGAGTTTTTTTTTTTCATATTTTTCTTAGCGATTCACAGACATCCAAGCGAGAGAGTACTTCGTGTATTCTTTGTCGTCTCGATTCATTACTTGTCTTTTTTTTTTCATCGACATATTCTTTAGTTTACTTTGCACGTTTGTTCTTAGTCTCGTTTTATTTATTTATTTTTTTTTTTGTTTTTCGCCGTAAAACACATCGAGCTGCAAGGTCCTAGCTAATTAATCCTCCGCCTCGTTGTCCCCTAAATAATCTACCATCGCTAAAAGCCGGAACGCGCGATGATTTCTCGCTGTTTGTTCGTGTTCTCTTCTTTTCTCTCTCTCTCTCTCTCTCTCTCTCTCTCTTTTACATATTTTTAATACATTTCTCTTATTTTTTTTCCCGTGTGGATGAAGAAAAGTACGAATCGCGTTCGAAGCTCCTCGAACGACGAACGAGTGACTATACAATTACTCTTTGGTTAAAAACGATGTCTCGTCGAGCGCGTATGTGTATGTGTGTGTACATGTGTTATGAAACGCGAGAGAAGAAAGCAGCGGTGCTACGTTTAATTTTAATATAAACTGAAAGAAAAGGCCAGCCTTCAGCGTTCTATATTAAAATTAACCGATCTGTCTTCCCCTGTCCTCCATTTGTTCTCACGCACACATCCTCTACGAGCTCTAGTCAGCAAGCATGATTACGAAGTCTTACGATTAGGGATAGGCTTATAGTCCTAGACGATATTAGGGCAAGCTGTCGAGGTGTGATCATTGGAGGAACCAAAGATGAACGTGGAAAGCGCGGCAACTAGTGCTCATCTAGCCTATGACCCTCTTTTCCACATCCTTCATACCTCACACCATCAACCGTACCCGATCAACCATAAAACACGATCCTAACGTGTGTGATTTACTACATGGAGATTCAAGATTGAGGGTCAATGTCTGCGCGCAAAATAGATCCTTCGAATCGTTGGAATAATACAGCGCCTGAGACCACTGTTTCTCTTTCTTTCTTTCTTTTTGTTAATTGATATGTCAAGAAAAGGATCCTCTCCCCGTCACTTTCATCCAAAATTTCTAACAACTGAGCCCTGCGAGGATGTTGCTCTATCAGTCCACGTGAATTGTTGCATGTTTTGTACAGGTACTTGGTGAAGAGATTCGTGCCCTCCATTCGAGCCAAAGACGATCGAACGACGACGTGGCATTTTGTAGAAGGGATAGTAAGTGACAATGATAACGACGACGATGCTCTTTCTCTATCTCTTCGTCGAGAGCTGGCCCATCGTTGGACGCTGGTCGTCACGCCTCGAGCCAGCCGAGACGCAACGATACGAGATCGCCGCTCGTTGCTGAGACCCGCGTCAGCATTTCGGGAGCGTACGATCGCGTCAATTGGACTGTCCATATTCTTCATCTTCTATTTCTTCTTCTTCTTCTTCTTTTTCTTCTACATCTTCTTCTTCCTCTTCTTTTTCCGCTTGGTTGAAAAAGACCCTTTTGGTCTAATTCAGATTGTGAACTAGCGGCGACTAGACGTTCCATTAACAAGTTCGCTGTATTCAAGCGTTTTCCTCCTCTCTTCCTGTTTAACACTTTCGTTTACCGTCTCTCGTGCTGAGACGAGGCTTCTTCCACAATCCTGGGGGGGAGTGGAGCTTGGCCAAAAGGTCAGTAGGTCGACACAAAGAGACCTGGCCAGCGACAACGGGCTAGCTGTCACTGACGTACACGCCACCAGGTCTGCTGCACCTTCTCGTGGAGCTTCCTGCAAATACCCGCGAGCCTCCGTCACATCCCAGCCTCCGCGGCGTTCTCCTCCGCCTCACCGCCCCCTTCGTCGCTCGGTAGGCTCGCCTCTGATGCTCCGACCGTGTCCCCGGTCTCGGCGCCCTCGCCTGACTCATCGCCTTCCTCCAGTGTCACCTTGAATTTAAATTAAGTGGTTAGATCGAGGTAGAGTACGGTGACAGCGGCGATATTTGACGGTAGGTGAAGAGTCGATAGTCCTGAGAGTTGAGGGAAGAAGATGAAACGAGGTAGGGGTTTTGGAAGTGGAAGAGAGAAGGTGAAGTGTATATTGAAGGTAGGAGAAATTGAAAGGAGTGGAGAGTCGAGAATGTTGATTCGTGTTTGATAGTAGGTGAAGAATTTCGAGAGTGGAAATGTAGGCAAGGATACTACCTTTCGGAGGAACGCTATATTCTAGTAATAAAGAGACCACAGAGGAAGTGTATGAAGTGTAGAATCAGGAATTTAGATTCATATTTAACAAAATATAGCGAACAGACCTAATTGATGGACTCGTCAGTGGACGAGTTCTCATCACGCTTTAAAAGGTGCGGAAGACAGTACCCAAGTCAGAAAATTAGCTCATGGAAATGTATTCTGATTGCTGATAAAATTTTAAAAAAAAATTTAACAAAAGGAATAGAGATGATACAACACTAATAACATTTGGTGTCGTTTGAAAAAGGAAGCAGCAAAGTAGTCAGAATTCTGGAAGTGTAGAAGTGTAGCCGAGACTCAGCTCAGAATATTAAAGGAATATCAACTTTGTACTCAACAGAAAGGAACAGTAGGAACCAACCTCTCAAGGATACGACGAACTCCTCACAAACCACCAATTACAAAGATCCAACCGATCCTTACCTGGAAGTGTATCCTTTCAGACTGTTGCTCATTCCCTTGCTGTTGCTGCTGGTCGTCGGACGGTGGAGACGGAGGGATCATCGACTGGTACCAGTCTCGATTCTCCTCGAGGGTATCGAGGATCTCCTGTGCATCTGGATGCACAAGATCCGCCCAGGTCTCCCACAGAGGATGAACGATGTAATCGATGAAGCCGACCTGCGACTTCTCGATAGTAGCACTGTGTCTATCGCACATAGGGCTGATATCCATATTTTGCTCGCGTTCACGGTCACCCTGAAGGAAGAACTCTTCCATCAACAAACTGACCCATCTTCGGTACAGTGGCAAAGGTTTCGTGGGATTGGACAGGTCGGCACAGTGCACAAGGTTCTCCAGGACTTGAATTCGATCGGTGTAGTTGTCCAACAGAAGCACACCAGAGCCGGCAACTTTCTTCGTCTCCACCATGGTCTTCAAATCAGCCAATAGGGTCATGTGCTTCGACATGTCCGTGGACAGGACCATGTCGATGACCATTTTACGAAGCGTCTGGCGTTGCTTCTTCGTCATGTTGACGAAAATGTCGCAACCCTCGTTCTGGAGTAACTTGAACGCCACAGCCAGGTGGTGGTTCTCCAGAACTGACTCGTCATTGTACATGAGGGCGAGCTCGGAGCCTGTAAAGAAATTTAGTGGTCGTTTAGGACTATTTAGTCAGATGAAGGATTCTAGAATTATGGTGACAGATTAGCATTGCAGTATCAAATACGAGGGCAAATTATTAGGTAATCTAATAGATACACAGATATAAGTTATGTTTGACTTGTGAAATTGGAGTCGCTTTGTTTCACTGAAACTTCCATCTATTTGTGTACTTTTAATTATATAGTTTATGTTTCTTTTCAAATCTTTGTCATCTTTGTTTCATTTTTTTCTTTTTTTTTTTTTGGAGACAATATCGATCGCGTTTTACTTGAAAAAAATTCTAAAAAAATGTACCATCTGCGTTAATCGAAAATTTCAGTCAGGCCAGAAATCTAAGATTGAATTTTTGAAAAAGGGTCAACTAAATCTTGAAACGAGATCAATTACCCAATTTTGGAACACCTGGTACTCAATATAAAGTGTCAGACAAAAGATACAAGATGATACTCACTCGAGTTGATGAGGAACTGGTTGGTGAGTCCAGGATGGTCAACGTCGTGAATTGTAGCAGCGAATAGAGCCGCGGTGATTTCCAATGGCGTGAACACGGACTGCAATGAAAACGAAAGTTTTCTATCAGCTGAGGAAATTCAATGAAAACACTGACATGTTCGCGGATTTTAGGGTCAAATTTTCTTAGTTCTCCAATTACTCAATTTTCCAAATTTTCAATTTCTCTACTTTCCAAATTTCCAACTTTTCTATTTTCCAAATTTTCAATTTCTCTACTTTCCAAATTTTCAATTTCTCTACTTTCCAAATTTCCAACTTTTCTATTTTCCAAATTTTCAATTTCTCTACTTTCCAAATTTCCAACTTTTCTATTTTCCAAATTTTCAATTTCTCTGCTTTCCAAATTTCCAATTTCTCAAGTTTACAAATTTCCAATTTTTCAAATTTCCAATTCCTCTATTTTACAAATTTCCAATTTCTTAATTTTTCAAATTCCCAATATCTTAATTTTCCAAATTTCCGATTTCTCAATTTTCCAAATTTCCAACTTTTCTATTTTCCAAATTTTCAATTTCTCTATTTTTCAAATTTCCAATTTCTTTATTTTCCAAATTTCCAATTTCTCAAGTTTACAAATTTCCAATTTCTCAAATTTCCAATTCCTCTATTTTACAAATTTCCAATTTCTTCATTTTTCAAATTCCCAATATCTTAATTTTCCAAATTTCCGATTTCTCAATTTTCCAAATTTCTAATTTCTCTATTTTCCAATTTCTTAATTTTCCAGTGTCCCATATTTCCAAAATTTTCCCGAATTTCGCAAACTTCAATTCTCCAAACTTCCAATCCCAAAGTATCTCCACTCGGTTTAAAAACAAACCCGTGAGATAGCAAGGGTTAACACGTTCCGTGCCACGTGAAACTCGTATGTTTCAACAGAGCTGTTAAAAGAAGATAAAAATTCGTAAATATTGGTCGCGTTCAATTCTTGACACTTTGAACATCTTTCGCACGTACAGAGTTTACTCGAGCACTTAGTCGATGAACAATCGTGACACGGAACGTGTTAAACATCAATCAAACCCTGGCGAACGTCATTTAACATCAATACCATCGGAGCAACCATCGTTCTAATTGGCAAATCAAACAACAATATCCCGCGAACGAAAAAAAAAGACGTTTAATTAGAAACGGTTTCCTGGAAGAAGTAAGGGAACTACGTTGTTCCCCGGGGCACACGTTCGGAATAATTGCGAAACCAATAAGTAACAGCAAGTGAATACGATATTAACCTCGAGTGCGGGCGTGTTGAGCAGAGTGTGGGTGGACTGGGTCACGTCGGCCGCGTGCAGGCTATTGTGGAAGGGATTGTCCTTGACGTAGTGATCCTCGAGGGTCATCATGAAGGTGACGAAGGTCTTGGGCGGTATTGCCAGCGATTTGAGCAGATCACGGGTCTGGAAGGCTGTGTAGGCGACGCAGGTCAGCGGCCTGTTGTTGCTCAGCTCGCCTATCCTGAAGATGTCGATGCCCCACTTGTCGATGTCTGACAGAAGCTGTAATTATTAATAGGTTAGCTCACCGTTCGCCTTATTCCTCGTTTAATCGGGAATTAAATGTTTCTTTACACTCAGTGAATTAGGTTAGCTCTCAGTAGGTAGCTAGACTTGTTTAGTCTATTTAATGTAAAGTGTGAGAGATATTGAGCAAACTTTTTCGACTCTACTTTGCTGGTTCTTTAAAGAAACAAAGGTGACTCTCACTGTTCAACTATAGGACCTAGTATTTTAGTATTGTTTACTTTGTATGAGATAGAAATGTACGAGGTATTGAGCTAAATTTTTGGATTTCAGTCAAGTTTAGGCTAATTTCTGACTACTCAATGGCTAGTTGCAGACTATGATATACAAACATTGCATAGTTGTGTACAATAGTGTACTTTGTTTGCAGTGCAAAGGATTTTGAGGTTTCTTGCGACAGACTGTGTTAACTGGGAGTAACCCAAATTTACTGATTTCTCCATTGTTTAAATTTGTGCACTTTGAATAGGGTAAATATACGTTCGACGCATTTCCAAACTTGGAAAGGCTACTTCAGACTCCATAAAGCTAACCATTGTTCCTCCGTCCCTCTTTCAAGCTGTTTGTTATTGCTCGTGGCGCTTCAAAGATCCTGAATCCTCTGTCTGTTAAACAATTCAGGTAACCAATGTTTTAGACAGCTTTTTTTGTGCCATCTGTGGTCGATCACTTAGCACCGACTCGAGATTTTCGAAGGTTTGTAATCATCCTCAGAGAAAAACTTTTGAAGAAATTCTTGAGGAATAAAAAGTTGTGAAAATTCGTTAATTCAAATACTTGTTAACGTTTATCATTCTAGGAGATGAAAAATTTGGGGAATTTCATTAATTAGATTATTGTTTATCGCGACTGAAATAGAAATGACAATATTTCAATGCAAGACAAATATTCACGAAACGAGCCAGCTAAGATTAGTTTAAACATTTCCTTGGAACATTCTAGCCTCGTTTCGCCAAATAAACAAACGATTGGTTCGTGTCGCGGGCCAAATAAGGAACTGGAAGCCATTTCGCGACTCTGAATCAGAACGCGTGGGCTCGACAACGATTCTAAGGTCTCAAAAGGCGTGTTCCTTGAGAATCAGCCGATTTCTTTGCGTCAGGAAGCATCTAATTAGCATACAAAGCGGTTGACGTTGATTACGTGAAAGTTGTAACTGGTCTGCGCTTCGAGAAAAGAGGATTTGCATCGATTATGCGAGACAACGAAGCGAAATTATCGCGTCGGCTGTTCTCGAAACGAATTTCTCCCTGAACTTTCGGCAAATGAAATTTCAACTTAATTTTCCGAAAATTAGAGAAAATAAGATTTCGCTGAAAAGATTAGACGAGAAAACTTCAAAGTTTGATTATTTATTTTACAGTAAGAATTTTTAGAGTATTATTTTCACATTAAAAATTATTTAGCTTTACTAATTTTTACTAATTGGAAAATTCTCTTCGGAATTAAATTCTTCCAAGTGCTAATGAGTACAAGATTATTGACAGACTTGACAAAATTACATTTTCCAAAATATAGTATTTATTTCCAAAAATTTATTTAAACAATATTGACTCATTGTGTGAAAAACAATCCTTCGAAATTATTCCTTCAATTATTGCTATGAAACGATTGAAAAACGTGAAACTCGTGCATCCATATGCCACGTGATTTCCTAATTAGATTCTCCGAAATAAAGGTGAAAATGATGGTAACGACGACGATAAGGGATTCGAGAAATTGGGTTATCGTCGGTTAGCGACCTCGTTCCAAATTTTTCCTCCATGTACGCGTACAACCTGTGTGTACACGATCGTAAATACGGCTCTCAGCAAATCGACGTCTATTATCAGTCTCACAGTGGATCACGTACAGGTTCAACGTGTCGATGCGAATAAATTTCTGAGGGCGTGTCGTTCCACTTTATAATTTCCTGAACGATGTTTCATTTTTTTTCTTTTCGTTAGAACCAGCAGAGAGTTGTTCAATTTTAGTTTTCAGTTTGTCTGATCGAATTTTGGTTTTTGGGTTGCAATTAACTGCAATTGATTACTGTCGATTCAGGTAATAAGAGGAATTTTATGGCAATTATTATGGTTCATATTTTATATTGATAAATCTAGATTGATTTCATTTCGGAATTATTAATTCGACTAGTACATTCTTGTATTTTTATTTTAATTAATAATTGAACTTGTAATTCATTAATTTTTTTTTTTATGTAATTTGAGCAACAAATGAAATTCTATATAGTGATTAATATTGTTCGTAATGCCTGTCACATTTAATTCGAATTATTATATTCTTGTATTTTTATTGAAACAATTCATATTTTTTCACATTCGTTCATTTCCTCGATTTCAATGTAAACAATAAATGGAATTCTACAGCAATTAATATTATCTACATCCTGCAGAATATAGTCCACGCAAACTTAATGAAAATCATTACTTCGAAAAATAAATAATTATTAAATTTACTGCTTCAGTTCTTCAGCTCACTGTTTACATATTTAAACTAGCACCCAATAAAATTGACATTCAACAAAATGCAAACGCGTTTAACGTTACACATATCAAAAGCACTAATTACGCTAGATTTTCCAAAGGGTATCTAGAACCCGAATAAAACTATCAGACATCCTCGTCTACCAGCCTAAGGTCAATGTTTACTATGACATAACAAGATCCACCGTCGGGGTATTTCCAAAAATTTCCGGTTTACTTTCACGCTTACGTATTTCGTGTCGGATTTTCCCCAGACAGCCCATCTCTCGCCCGATTACCACACGTTTCCCTTATTCTTCACTCCCTTTGTTTGCCGCGTTAATTACTCACCCGTGTAAATATTTAACAGCCGGGGTCATTGTTCGCGATGCTGGAAAATTTCCTAGACGAGATTCTTAAAGCCTCTCATAAAAACTTGTGTTAACAAAGATAAGGATAAGGATGGAGCGAACGAAAGGGACCACGGAAGATTTCATTTTCCGAGCGGTGGAAAATTTTCTCGAACGTCGTACTACGTCGGTAAAAGTGTAGCGAAAAGAAAATTTTTCACGTGCGTCATTCGAATATCGGAGAGAAAATTGGGCAGAAGTTAGTCAAATCGAAAACTCATGAAATATACTATAACTATAACTCGTAACTGAGCTCAAAGTATAACTCAGAAAATAGATCACACAATATACCAAAAAACTGTATTGTTAAAAGAGAAACTCGTGACCAAAAAAATTTATTATTAAAAGGGAAACTCGTGACCAAAAACTTTGTTGTTAAAGTTATTCTTAAAAGATTAAAATTCACCATCATTATTATTATTAGAAGAATATACTCATGAGATCGTTCAAAGTTCGTTCGAAATCGACCATCTGTTATCGGATGATCGAACGGAGGAAGAGAAAAGGTCTCGCAGATGTGGAACGAATGTAAACAAGGAAGCAGGCGATCATGCGTCGCGTGGAATATCGTCAGAATAGTCTGAGACGACTTTGATACGTGTCAGAGATTACACGTGTCTCACTCTGATGGCCAGCATGATTAATAACAATTAGAGAACGGCGTTGAAGGCTATAGCGAGCTGCGTGATCCGATTATGTGGTTTGGACGTAGCACAGACTGACAATGTGCGGTGAGAATTTAATTGGCACGGATTTCGAGACAATTTTTAATCATGATCGAGGATTACAGGAGGATTCTGCCGAGTTACGAAGATTTTAGGGGTTGCTCTATGGAGTGAAACGTTGTACGATTGAGAATAAGCTGTAAAATATTAATTATTATTTTTTAATCTATCGGTAAGAAAAGGCGGGAAATATTGTTATAATATCTAAATTAAAAGAAAGTGTGAAGGTAGTTTCTTGTGCGATTTCCTCCATTGAAACTTTGGAACCGGTTGTGCAAGTGTCTCCGAGAAACGAGACAGTTTCTGAAAGACGCTGAATCCGTAATCGAGGTCTTCCGGATGAGTAGAAAGTCTATGTACCGTTAATTAATCTTGCTTTCACAGCTCTGTTTCGCGTTCTTGGAACCGCTTATGCAATTCCGGTGATTCATTTCGGATGGGGATGTTATTTAATCCCCGTGATCGTTATCAATGGGCTGATTGATATACTGTGCACGAACTAATGAAGAGATGATTTCTCGGAGAATTCTACAGAGAATAATGCGCAATTTCTGACGCAGAGTGGATGTTGAAAATTGCGATTCTATCTGGTAGCTAGTATTCGGTTTATTCGTCATTTAGGATGTAGTATTTGGTATTACCGTTTTCTCCATTCGGTAGCTAGTATTTAGAGTTTTCTAAATTATATGCTTCTTTCAGTTGGGATTTAGTACTTGTCAGTTGCATGCACCCAGTTCAAAAGATTGAAACGCCTTTTCGTTCAGTATTTAGTATTTACTACAGTTAGCATTTAGTGTTTAGTATGTTCTTCATTTAGTGTTTGGTATTTTTTCCATTTAGAGTTTTCTAAATTTTATATTTTCTTCATTTGAGATTTAGTATTCTCGATTTAGTATTTAGTATTTATCAGTTTCACGCACCCATTTCGGGAGATTAAAACGCAGTTTCAATTAGTATTTAGTATTACCTATATATATATCATTTAATGCTTAGTTTGTTTCTCAGTTAGTGTTTAGTATTTTCTCCATTTAGAGGTTTCTAAATTTAGTATTTTTTTCATTTGGGATTTAGCATTTAGTATTTGTCAGTGTCATGCACCAATTTCAGAAGATTAAAACGCATTTTCATTAAGTATTTAGTATTTCCCATATATATCATTTAGTGTTTAGTTTGTTTTTCAGTTCGTGTTTAGTATTTTCTCCATTTAGAGGTTTCTAAATTTAGTATTTTTTTCATTTGGGATTTAGTATTTAGTATTTGTCAGTGTCCTGCACCAATTTCAGAAGATTAAAACGCAGTTTCATTTAGTATTTAGTAATTACTTCAGTTAGCATTTAGTGTTTAGTATGTTTTTCAGTTCGTGTTTAGTATTTTCTCCATTTAGAGGTTTCTAAATTTAGTATTTTTTTCATTTGGGATTTAGTATTTAGTATTTGTCAGTGTCCTGCACCAATTTCAGAAGATTAAAACGCAGTTTCATTTAGTATTTAGTAATTACTTCAGTTAGCATTTAGTGTTTAGTATGTTTTTCAGTTCGTGTTTAGTATTTTCTCCATTTAGAGGTTTCTAAATTTAGTATTTTTTTCATTTGGGATTTAGTATTTAGTATTTGTCAGTGTCCTGCACCAATTTCAGAAGATTAAAACGCATTTTCATTTAGTATTTAGTATTTCCCATATATATCATTTAATGTTTAGTTTGTTTTTCAGTTCGTGTTTAGTATTTTCTCCATTTAGAGGTTTCTAAATTTAGTATTTTTTTCATTTGGGATTTAGTATTTAGTATTTGTCAGTGTCATGCACCAATTTCAGAAGATTAAAACGCAGTTTCATTTAGTATTTAGTATTTACTTCAGTTAGCATTTAATGTTTAGTTTGTTTTTCATTTAGTGTTTAGTATTTTCTCCATTTAGCGTTCTCTAAATTTAATATTTAGTATTTCATATTTTCCCAATTTGGGATTTAACACTTGGTATTTAGTATTTTAGCATTTAGTTTCTTCTTCATTTATTAGTTTCTACGTCTGATACTTAGTATTTAGTATTTAATACTTTATCAATTTGGTATTCAATATTTAGTGTTTATCAATTGAACGTAACCATTTCTAATTTGTATTTTTAAATCTGGTGTCAATATTATTTTATTTTTCCCATCTACTTTTGCAAAGTCATCAAAACAATGTAAAAATCTACACAATTCAGTCACCAAAACAATCTAAAAATCTACACAATTCACAGTCTGCGCATATTCTTTCATTCCAATACTACCATAGTTTCTCTCACAGTCTCTACAATTCTCAAATTAATATCCCCCCTATTAATTAACTTTATTAATAGAGCTATCTCCCAGTTAACATCTTTGTCTGTTTATTTTGGTGTCCGTTAGGGTGGCAGATGGTACCAAAGAGTGAAAAATTGCTCTTACCTTGCCGAGCTCTTCCTCATGAGGCGTTTCCACACCATGAACCGGCACACGCTCCCCAGTGAAGCTGTTTGTGTGCGTGAGGGGTCGTTTCACGCCGCTGATGTGGGACATTGCGGCCGGGCCTCTTTGTACCCGGTCCTTCTTCTTCGCCGCCCTTGCATCCGTGCTTCCGGCAGCTGCAACTGCATCCTCGATTCGCAGACAGGGTAAGTCCAATTCCTGTTGCTTGTCTGTGAACGGAAACAAAACGAATTATTGGTTAAAATGATCAAGTCTGACGAATACAGAAAATTATTGAAATTTTCTTCTGAAAATACTGATAAAAATTAAACGCAAAAATGATATTCCTTATTATCGAGGGAAATTTGACGGATAGAGGAAATTATTCGAATTTCTCATTTTCAGAATATAAATAACATTTTTCTTTTGAAAATGTCAATAAAAATTAAACGCAAAAATGATATTCTATATTATCGAGGGAAATTTGAGGACAGAGAAAATTATTGGAATTTTTCATTCTCAAACTTAAAATACTTGATTTTCTTCCGAAAGTACCGATGAAAATTAAATGGAAAAGTATAATTGTTTAGTACTGTGTGAAAATATTTGGAATCTCTTGACCTTAGAATTATAACATTCTCTTCTCATCGAAATGCCAATGAAAATTAAGTGGAAAATTAAGATAATTTACCATTGAGTGAAATCTGTAGAAAGTAGAAAATACGTGGAATTCTTTAATTCCACAATTAAAATATTTTCTTCTAGAGAAATTAGTGAAACTACAAATAAATTTATCGATACTGGATAAAATTAAATAAAACAAATTCACTGTTTAATATTCTCAGTATCCATAAATAAATCCTGGCTCCTTAAATTACTTTCTTTCTCGTTCATTTCATAACTATCACTCGATGCATTGCTATTTCACTAATTGAATTCCTCTCGCAGAATAGTTAATCGAAACGCATCCTAAATTTCAACATTTACGTAACTGTTTCCTAATAACAACTTACATAAAAGAAAAACTTCCACGATACTAAAACGATAAAAGTTTATCCACCGACAAATAAACAAACAAGCAAAAATATACGTAAAACCAGCGCACAGGCTGCCTTTAAATTGACGGAGAAGGCTGTTTGCGTAAACAAGAGTCGAATTCCTCGTTCCACGAGCAAACAGGAATCGTCACGAGACAAAGAGAGTAAAACGGGATGAATGATCGTGAAACACGCGTGCATTTACGGCGACTCAAGGGCTCTTAATGCGTAAGAGTCTGTACTGCTCTCTCATTGTCCCTGGGCAGATTTGCTCCTGGCGTTGACCTCGATAAAATCGCAAATTACCATTCAGTTTCACGACCGTGCGCGGTTCTTTTAATCCCGGACAAAGAATCGGATGTTTACACGAAGTAATAACAAGTTTGAGACAGTTGACGAAAGATTCGTAGATTTACTGCTCGGTTTCTCAGTTGCAACTTACCGAGGAAAGTGTTGCAGATGTACTCTGATATCTGATTGCCGGATTTCGAGGATTCCGAGAAATGGGACAGCTCCTTGTTCAGCATTCGCTTGAACTGTAATCAGACAAAGTAACGAAAATTAATGAAATGCATAATTTCAATTAAACTCGGGAAGAATATTTTTTTTTAAAAGGAAGGCTGACTTTTAAACTGTCATAAGACGTTATTCGAAGTTGAATTTTTTAAACCTGTTCACTCTGAAATGAAGGTATTCCAAGCATGAAAGTTACAGGAAATAATCCCTAATTGCAATTAACCGTCTATAATTAAATTTAACTCGACGACTTTCAAGGAGTATTCTTTGTTCGCTGATTTTCAAAAATCGCGGCAACTGTGGACGTTTATTGTTATCGCAGTAAGAAGCAGGCTAGAGAATAGATTTTTTAATTCGTAGAAAACTCAGGAATTAGAGCTGGTTTCAATTTTCCAAGTAAACCGATTCACATTCTTCTACATGTAACTATCCCGTAGAAAACAATGAAATACTTAATATTAAATCGAAGAATAATCGAAGCATCGATGTTCGCGTTATCAAATACCTCGATTACCCAAATAATGACTTTTTCTCGTATTTAATTGAACTCATTTACGGCACACAAATTCCCATCGTAAAGTCGTCTCGAATAATCTTCTGGAATCGTCGAAAAAGTGTTGGAAATTGATCAAACAGTGGCGAGGAAAGCTGTAGAAGCGGAGATCCTCGATTCCCATTGGTTAGAGCGAGCGTTATCTCGTGAAATTTACAATATTTGCGCGTCTCGTATGAAATTTAGACGCAGATAAATGTCAAGCAGATGGTGTACTTGTTCATACACAGGTACGTTCACGTAGGAACTTCTGAAAAATTGGCAAACAGATCGGTTGTGTATCACGCGACGTTATCAGCGCTCGTCTGAGCTTTGTAGCAGCCGGTGAAAGGATTTCCTCCACATCCTCCGCGATTACGCCGGATCTGTCCATGCAAATGGCGGGGAAGGTGGACTGACCTGTTATCAAATCGAGTGTTTTGAGGAACAAGAGCCTCTTCGAAGCTGTACGATTGTTTGCTCGCCGAGATTTCCCAGCTGTCGCGTGCTTCGACGGTGATAACGCGATCGTTGAATGAATCCCTTCGGTTTTCGCGATTTACAGAAACGGAGAGTAGATTCTTCCTCGAGTTACTTTGAGTTTTCGGAGTTTTCGATTCTACGAGTTAGATTTTCGTGGGTCTTTTGGTTATTGTATTCAGGATTTTTTTTTTTTTTTTTGGTAACTCTGGCTTTCGTTTTTATTGTTCTCGATATTTGAGTATTTGAGTTTGATGGTTTCTGAAATATTGCATTTTTGCATTTTCTAACTTTATGGTATTTCAATTCTCTGATTTTCTGAATTTCGCAAATTTCTGATATTTCAGTTTTCTTGTCAATTTTTAATTTCCCAATTTTCTTAGTTCTCCAATCTCTCAAATTTCCAATATCTCAATAATTTCCCAATTTTCTTAGTTCTCAAATTCATATTCTTAGTTCTCCAATCTCTCAAATTTCCAATATCTCAATAATTTCCCAATTTTCTTAGTTCTCCAATTCATCAAATTTCCAATATCTCAATGATTTCCCAACTTCTCAATTTTCCCACTTTTCCAAATTTTGCAATTTTCAATTCCCTAAATTATGAAATTTCCAATATCTCAAGAATCTCCCAATTTTCTTAGTTCTCCAATTCATCAAATTTCCAATATCTCAATGATTTCCCAACCTCTCAATTTTCCCACTTTTCCAAATTTTGCAAATTTCAATTCCCTAAATTATGAAATTTCCAATATCTCAAGAATCTCCCAATTTTCTTAGTTCTCAAATTGATCAAATTTCCAATATCTCAATGATTTCCCAACTTCTCAATTTTCCCACTTTTCCAAATTTTGCATTTTTCAATTCCCTAAATTATGAAATTTCCAATATCTCAAGAATCTCCCAATTCTCTTAGTTCTCAAATTCATCAAATTTCCAATATCTCAATGATTTCCCAACTTCTCAATTTTCCCACTTTTCCAAATTTTTCAATTCCCTAAATTTCCAAATTTCCAAGTGTGGAATATTTCAATTCTAAAATTCCTAAGCTCATCTATCTCTCAACTCTCCAATTCTTCAAGCTTCTCAGCTCTTCAATTTTCAAACACCTAATCCTTCAATCCTCCAATAAACTCCTAAAACTTTCAAACACCCAACGCCATACTACGAACTTCACAATTTCCTAATCTCCCAAACTACGAATCCTCAAATTTCCCAATATCTATCTACAACTCCATCACTCTCCCTACTCAATCAGTTCCAATAAAAATCCCAAACGTCAACTTGAAAACCACTCTCAAACCATTTACAATGTAACAAAAAGCTCTTCCTAGATGCTAATTAGGTCATCGTCAATCAAACACTCTGCACAAGAAATTATCAAACCTTCCTTCTTTTTCCCATGTCACGACAACATACACCAAAAAAACATACACATTGATACCAGTTTTCAAAAAAAAAAAAAAAAGAACACGATTACCAGTCATTAATCAACGTCATCGTAACAGTCGTAAATAAGTTAGACTTAATTCGAGGTAAAAGTCCCTGTTAAGGACTGAACAATGCTTAATACCCTCGTATCTTCATTTTATCAATTAACGATACAAAATACGAATTACACGAAAATTTGAAAACGCGAGAACGTCTAAAGTTCGTGTACACGCACGATTTCCGTACAAGCGACGCTTCGATAGACCATTTTATAAAAATAATCGTATTACACAACGACCAGATAATTATAACATTTACTTAACGTGGTCAGTTAAATCACCGATAAGATTATCGATTATCGTGGGAGGGTTTACCGCGTGGATAATTCGTTCGGCTGTGATTGCCCGATAAAGACACTCTAATCTAAGCAGCTGAATCGAGTGATTCCTTCCGCCGATAGGCTACGTCATCGATACTCTTTATCGCGCGAATTTCTTTCAGCAAACTTGTCGACAATTTATTCCCGCCACTTATTTTAAGCGTCTGCTTACATCGTTCGTTCTACCGTTTGTTTTGGTATTGCATAATGCTGAGATAGATCAGGAGTGAATTTCATTCGATTAATCGACAATCAACGCGAAATATGTTCCAATGTAAATTCGCTCGAGAGATTTCAGATAGTGTATTCTTTTCACTTTTATTTGAAAGCAGTTCTTTTTTGCAATTCACCGATATTGTTTGTGAATAATACAT